CCAAATGTGACCTCTGTTTTTAACCCATCACCAAAGTGAACAGTGGGCAGCCTAAAGCACCCGGGGAGCAGTGTGGGTGGCACCATGGCTCCATAACTCTCAAGAGAGTTAGGGGAATAAAACTGACATTGTAATATTTTTATCCCCAAAAACACAATCCTATGTTTTTTTTCAGAATTATTTATGAGACTGCTTCCTCAAACCTGCCAGACCAGGTGAAGTAAACCGTGGGTTGACATTTGAAAACAGAGTGAATAAAGCCTTGACGGGGCTCGCTTTACTCAGAGGAAATGTCAGTATATGCGACTCTTCACAACTTGACACCCAGTGTTTTTGGGTGCTGAATCGTAATAACATTTTGGAAATGTCGGAATCCAAGTCATTAATGATTATCAAAATACCAAGCCATGCTCTCTTGTTTCTTAAATCCCTAGAATTTCTATCTGACTGTTATGCAGATGAAGGCCACATTTCCTTTTAGGGCGGATTCAATTCTTGACATTTAAAAAGAGGACGTTAGAGTCTCCTGAGTGAGATCAAACAGACAGCCAGAGGTTAAAGTGCAGTCGACTGTCACAAATTGCTGGACAAGAGATGCTGCAAACAGGCTCAGAGATAAAACAGAGGGACTCGGAAAGGTAGGGATCAAAGAAAAGAAGAGCTGGGATTTTATCAGTCCACTCTTGTGTGTTTTTATATTGTTCTCTCACCTTTTCCTTTAACTATTGTGGACAAAATTGTGTTTTCCAACACAAACTGTATGTGTTTTTGCTTTGCTTTATCAATCCAAACGCTATGAACGCTAAATATTCAGGTTCATTTTATTTTGCTTTTATTTATTCTCTAGCAATGTAAAGCCGTCCAATTTTAGCAAGCTGGTGTTAGGCATGTAACAGTATTGCGTGTTTACTGTGCTGACAGTTTTCAGTTTTAAATATATCATTTCATCCACAGTATCATTATTTTATGCATACCGACTGCAGACCGATGCTTCCTCATCTCATCATCCTACATCACGATGTTTGTCCTGCTCCCCTGACATCTCGGCTGTGTAATTTGCTGTTTCTCATTCAATTCAACCCTGTCATTGTCACTGTGCACATTTTTTTTTCTTGTGGACAACAATCCATTGTTATTCCATTCCTTGCCTACCTGGTAAACATAAGAGAAAGGTAACAAAGTGAAGACTCGCTTTACATTCTGTGCTACTATATGTTTTGGATCATTTCATTTTAAATACAAAAAATGCATTGCTTACCGACATATTTGATAATTCCGGAAGCTCATAAAGTCATTTTTCAAATAATAACATTCCTGTGCCCTCACTTTCAAGTTTTTTTTTCTTTTGTCAAGCAGTTGCCACATCAGCATTTGAAAAAGCAGCAGTTTTCATGTCAGATGTTTATCCTGAACTCCCCTCACTCATGGAGTCATGACTGTCACCAGTAAAAGAAAAGTAAGAGAAAAATCCCCAGCGACCTAATTTACGTGAACTTGTCTCTTAAAATGAAAGGGTGATTGATGGTTGACTGGTGGTATGGTGATGATGGGACGGGGTGTAAAAGCTTTTAGGTAAAATACATACATAAAGGAATAGATAAAGGGAAACTAGTGTAGGCTTGGAGATGAATAAATCACAGAGATGCACAAAAGTAAAAATACCTTTAAAACCATGAGTCACAGCGGTGAAGTTGAAATGCAGAGGTAGAATAATTTATTCCGCTGGTGTTAAAAATGTACAGGAGCTGCTCTTTAAATGTCAAAGTACTTAAATAATAATATCTTTGGGTTTTTTTTACTAGCTATAGGATAGATTAATTATGTTTATTTGGGATTTAAACTATGAAAACTATAAAAAAATTGAAATCTCACCTCTATAATTAACTTTTTAATCACTTGTAATGTCTTTACTGGTTTTGTTTTATGATGTTTATGCTCTGTCAAGTCTCAAGTCAGCTAGTCACCATGAGAAAAAACAGAAGGTCATAGCCATGAGAAAACCTGAAGGGGACAAATGATAAAAACAGGATACACAAAACAAAAGGTGGAGGATAAAAGTGATGGGTGGAGAACACATGAGAAAAGGGTCAGGTAGGAAACAGTGATCAATGAGAACGTATGAAGAGAAACCAAATGAATAGGAAAAGGACAAAGAAGGAAAGAGTAGAATAGACTAAGAAAGTAGGACAAAGAGACTGTGAACAATGCCACCCAAAAGTAATAAGGACATCACTGATATGAGCAAAGACAGGGAGAGGAAGTACAGAAGTAAAGGTGAAGATGAAAAACATAAGCACAATTAATCACCGCTGCTGCACTGAACCTCAAAAAAACAACAACAAAAAAACAATATCTTCTTCCATTGAATGGTGGTTTAAAACTCTGAACTACCTGCTGGTTTGTCAATTCTTGACTTCTTTACTGCATATGTGTTGCCCGACCCTGAACCTGGCCCTGACCCTTTCCTTGTCCTTGCATCTTTTTTTCTGATTTTTATGGTAACACACAACCGTTTACTATAAATTCTAGAATGTTCTCCACATGGCCAGATATCATCCTGTAGTTTTCTTTCCTTGTGCTATGTTTTGATCATACCCACAGAAGCACCCAGACTACTAAACTGACTGCCCACAGGCTAAATCCAGCCTGTCAAATGTTTCATTTTATCAAACATTGAACATAATGCATGGATGGTAATAACTACTGTAATATTTTCACCCGCCTGAAATTCGTTCCAGGATCTGACACTAATACACTTTTATTTGTGAACAATATGGGTAACAGAGTAAAGAAGGACAAAGAGATTTGACCTCCTACTCTATTATACTCATATATATAATTATATTACTGTATGTTTGTCAAAGTAAACACATTAGCTTCATTGAATTACGTAAATGTTTTCCTAACATATCACTGAATTGATAGGACATTGAATATTAGCATGTCAATATGTTATTAACTGATTACGCATATGACACGGGTTTGGCTTTCAGTGCAACATGGGTCTTGGGTCCGGAATGTTCGAGTCCACCAGCTGCCAAGCTACCACTGAGGTGCTCTGAGCATGGCACCGTCCCCACACACTGCTCCCCGGGTGCTTAAAGCTGCCCACTGTTCACTTTGGTGATGGATTCGTTGCGTGTGCAGTGGTGTGCTGTGTCACAATGACAAATAATTCACTTAAAGGTAGGTGGTAATGTAGTCCTGTGCAGTCCTTCACATCTGTTTTCTCTGAGAGGAATACATAGTACAGAAGTAGCATTTTTTGTTTTATGCTTTAGCGAGCTGTGGTGATTTTTGTTTCATTACAATAGAATTATTGTCTTTTTTTTCTTTCTGTGTTGTACTTTTTGTTTACTTGACTTTATTGCTACATATATTTGTTATGTTGGTATCAAAAGAGAAATTAAGGAAACTTAAAGACCTGTGAGATTAGGATTTCATCAGTCGTCTGGTCGGTAAAGGTAAATGGAAACTTCTGCTGAGGCTGCAGATGGTTGGTTCAAAATTTGGCCTCAACTCCATGGATTCATGACCCTAGTCAGCCTCGTGTCAACAATAAAGCTGGTCGTTGTAGCGTAATGATGTGAGGAATGTTTCCTTGGCACACTCTGGACCCTTTAGCACAGATGAATCCTCATTGAATTCAGCAGCTTCTCTGAGTGTTGTTGCTGACCGTGTTCATCCCTTTACGGCCACAGTTTACAATCTTCTAATGGCGTTACCGTACTGTAAGTGGTCGGTCTAAAGTGGATTCATCAGCACAGCGATAACTTTAGTGAACTTAAGCGACGCTTGACCATGACACTTGAATCCAAAATGAAAAATTCAAGATGCGCCCAAGCTAAAGGAGGCTTAGGTTTCATATGAAGATTAGGCTTTAGAACAGGGGTGTCAAACATATGGTCCGCGGGCCAAAAGTTGCCTGCTAGGGGGTTCAATCTGGCCCACTTGATGAATTTGAAGGTGAAAAAAAATGCATGAACACTTCATGTTTGTGGCGTTTTGACAAATTATACTTCATTAAATATGAATATCTTTAAATATACTTTGAACTTATTTGCAGGAAAACAAATGGGGGAAAACATAGACTTAAATAATATTCTTAAATATTATATATTTATATTATTGCACACACACAAATATACGTATGTGTACACATATAGTGTAAAATACATATATTGTATGCAAGTGTTATTATATACATCTTGTTATAAATAATGTTGCCTTTTTTTCCTGAAGCTTAAAATGATCTCCTAACGTCCTCCTTAAAAAAGCCAAGACCCACAATCTAATGATGCATAAATATCAAAAAAGTATATATAGCTGCTAAAAAAAGATAGAAGACGGGGCTCCAGTGAACATAGCAACGCAGCATGTTTAATGGTGTTGATAATTCAGTGTCTGGCTCTATTGTTCTAGAGTTACACAACAGGAGGTGCGCCCCTGAGTATAGGTTTTAGTAGAGAAAATAAACCAACAGAAACATGGATCAGGCTGCAGAGTCATGATACTAAAAAATGAATTGGTTTCCAGGCAGTAAAATAAAGTAAAATACTTAACAACAAACAGGCAGAGGCATGCCAACGGTAGTGTTGCCCAGAACTTTTTGTAGTTGCTGATGTGAGCACGGTTTATGTGTTTGTGTTTACTACAGAGGAAGCCCTGGTTGGATGGATATTAAAACTGAGGAGGAGAGAAAAATAACTGATAACAGAATAATCATTGGCTTGGCATCATTGGCAAGAACCAACATTTGTTTGGCTGCATTACAGAGAGAGTAAATCAAAATGTGAGAAGATGGTAGGACATGTAAAAGAGGCCAAGTGAAGAATTGAAAGAAGAGGAAGTGAAATGTTGTCAAATCTGAACATCTTTTTACCTAGTCCACCTCCAGTCATGCAGTTTTATGAATACTCCTACCTCTAGTATTATACACAAACACACACAAACCTACTTTTCAAGCTATTTTTAGATTTTTATGACAATGAAAAACTTACTTCCTGTCCAGAGAGGTAGTAGGCGGCCAGTAATCCTCCAATGAAACGAATGTTGACCTCAAACACGGAAACCTCAAAATTCTGTTGGGAAAAATATTACACACATGTTGAAAACAATTATTCGGTAATTATTTGAAATACATTTCTTTTTACATTGAAAACATGCTTTTTTATTTAGATATATTACTATCAGGGCTCAACCATGACTTTTAGAGGATTTTTTAATGCTAATACAAAATCAACTAAACAGATTGTTGGCACTGAAAACATCTGATGAGACCGAATTTGGATTGCAGACTTTTGGCTGCTCCTTACTTCAGGGGGTCACCACTGAAGATAATCCGAGTAAATAATTTGGCACAAGCTTTAAGCTGGATGCCCTTCCTGACAACTTTGTTCCCATTTATAAAGGCTTTGGATCCACACTTGGGAAACACAAAATGTAGCTGCCCTCCAGTGGCTGAGGTGAAGTATTTATACTGAACTTGCACCAAAAAAAAGTATATCACTGAACAGGAAATCTAAATAAAAGTAAAGTATTTACAGCTATTGTCAGCTGTTTCATGGATGCTGGTGTTATAAAAGATGAGTTAATGTGCAGTTTTACACACTTTTTATTGTTGTATCAAGCATAGCTACTTAGGTTACATTGTTTTGAAAAACACATATTAAAGTTGTTAAATGGCCAGTATTGCCATGTGTGTTATTGGTTTAAAAAATTTGATAAAGTTGAAAAAATGTCAGTCTTTTACAGTGACTCTTTAAAAGAGAGGCAGAGCAAGCAAATAAACAACACTTTAAATGTAAATATGATGGTAATTAATGCAGCTATGTATTGATTGTTTTCTTTGCTTAAAAATGCAACCGTTGATTTCACTACACTACGTTAAACAAACTCTCATAAATCATTTGTTAGAGACTGCAAACTTGTCGAGGTAGGCAACAGTGGGCCCAGGCATCCTATTTCCTAAACAAATATAGTTTAACTTTTTTTTTTCTCTGACAAATTATCAAGAGACATAAATAAAAATATAAGGTTTTTAGGCTTGGACCTTTAACCAAACGACCTTTTTTTAGTCCTGCTTGTCATTTGTACGTAGCTGAAAGGTGAAAACTAAAAATCCACAGTTTTTCTACCTTTTCTACTCTTGTGTCAGCAGGGATGTCAAAAGCTTAGCAGCGCCTTCAACTGGCCCCCCATTTAAATGGTTTGCACATTATCAGAATGTGTGACAATGTACCAACGTGGCTTAAAAATACTTCCACAGGGCCCAGATCCCATGCGTGCAGTTAAGAGGGTGCCGATTGCTGACTGTAAGAGGATCGAGGTGCAGAACTGTTCTCTTCCCTAACGGCTCCTTCAGCCTCCACGCTCACATTTACGTTCTGCCTAAGACGAATTCTCAGCCACATGTCTGCTGCACTTCTAGAAATGTATATATATAAAAGAGAGAGAGAGAAGAACTCGGTGTGGAACAGCAACAGCAGACCTTGAGGAATCATCTAGAAATGGGCTTAAAACTATGTAATAAAATAAATATGATTTTGCTTAGACCACTGAAGAGCTCAGAGTGGAAAATGCAGTCATTTAGTTAATCAAAGACAGACGGAACTCAGGGTCTGGACAGGTCACCCCAATCTCTGACACATCATTGTGGGTCACATTTAACGAGGGTTATTAATGTGTCAGTTAAGGGACTCCATTAATTTCAGTGCATCTCTGTGTCTGGTGGTGGATGCAGGCCTCACGCCGTCATATTTATCATTAGCGGGCAGGAAGCTGCAGTGTGGGGGCTCCATTAGAACACTGGAGACTCAAACAATGACTCACGGCTCGGCCCGACTTGACATGGCAACCGTTCAATCAGCTATTAGTGATGGAGATGGTTGCGCTGGCAGGTGGGCGGTTGATTTAATAGGTGTTATACACACAGTGAAATGAGCACACACACGAGTTAATGTTATGGTTTGAAAGGAAGGGATAACTGAGAGAGGAATGTTGATATGTTTTTATATCCTAAAATCTTATCTCTTCCTCTTCTCAACCATTATTAGTTCTGAAGTGAACAATGCACTGTCTTTTAAAAACCTTGACTTCCCATTAAAAAGAAAGAGAAAAAAGATCCTCCAGTGTGGGTCAAACTGTCTTTAAAGTGTCTATAAAGGTCTTGGCAAACACTCACTGCTGTTGAACTTAATGTGATGTTATAGAAACGCCGCAGTCACACATACATGCACAGCAGAATGATTCACCCTGAGTAAGAGTGATGTCTTTAATCTCCTAAATGGAAATCCAGATCAGGGCTTTATTGCAGTCTCAGAGCCCTGAAATGGCTGCAACCTTCAGGTTGAACAAATCTTTTGATTTTCACAGGGGCCAAGCTTAATAGCACTTTTGCAACAGATTAGGCTGCCAAGCATCTGCAGGTCACGCATCTATCGTGAACTGTCCTCGATGGGAAATTACCTAGGGTGAGTGATACTAAACTCTAAACTAGTGTCAGGACTGAGCTGAGACTTATTATGCTGTTCACACTACTACGCTAATGATCACATGACAACGTGTATGTCAGTGTAGCAATCGCGCAAAACACACACTCGATCCACTTCTGAACGTGAACACAACAGATACCAAATGCTCAGCGAATCCCAAATAAAAAAGTCAGGGTGAACCAATGTTTGACTTCAACTACTATGGGATCGAATAGTGCATTAAGTATGGGACTTGATTGGATTGGGTCAAAAGGTGAAGCCTAAATCTGTTGTTTGCTTCTTTGCAGATAGGATAAAAATAATAAAATTCCACCTCTCTTCTTGCATTACTGTACCAAGAGCTGTGGATTTTTTGCTCTAATTTAATCTTCCTTTATCCACTACAATCTCATTTTACCTCAGTGCCTTAGATTCATATTAAAGGCAGCCTCCGCAGACACATCTGCTGTCAGTTTATGCTAATAAACCAATTCTCTATGGCCCAATCCTGGTATAATCCATGCATACGGTATTGGTCGAATGCTTGATGTAATTTCTACATGAACTTTATTATAATGGATAGCAATACTCTTTTTCTGTCACTGCGTCTGTGATTATCCTTTCAGACTCAAAAATCCAAAATGACCTTAGCCACTATGTACAAATTAGGTTTGGGTCATAAAAAATAGTAGTCAAAAGTTTCAGTTATATTAATCACAAGTGTGGATTAATCAGATTTGATCTGCTTTATACTGATCATTAAAAAGGTACCTGATCATGATAGATAACTCAACATGACCAATCACAGTAGGTTTCACACCTGTTTTTATTTGCGACTAATCCAAATTATTCAAAAGGAAAAATGTCCAGAAGAATACGCAAAATCATTATCAAAATTTAGCTTGCTCGATTTGGTAGTTATTACAGTGCATCTTGATAATGACTTGTAAAATGAGTCAGAAATCTGTCTTCAACTTATCAGTCAACTGTTCCTTACAATCCATTTGGTAATAGTGTCAGTCAGCCTGTCAGCTGCAGACTTACTTACTGCCCTGCACTTTATTACACTGGTCTGACACAAGCTGGGCATCTGACCCTCTTTATTTGTATTAGTATTATTGCTCTTGTACAAGTCATCAACGTTAACAGAAATCATATGTAAAACGTGTTTATTTTGGGTTTTGTAGACACACTATAGCCCATACATAATATATCGTGTTACCAATTTCTTAAAAAAATTATATTTTTTAAAATACATGCTGGTGATAATGGCAAAAACTATCAGGTTGAAACTAATTTAAATATTATGGACATTAATTTTATGTCTATAAGATGACATAAATTAAAATGACCATAACCATAACTATAAGATGATTCAATAAATCACATAGTAGTTTTTTCTCCATTTCTTCCTCAGTCTTTTTAACCAAACTGATTTCCTTAATGTATTTTCTTCATTCCTATCTTTGTATTCCTTCCAAGCTTCCCCCACTCCTACTCCTCTATTTTCCCCTCCTTTCTTCCCCCAATCCTTCTAAGTCATTCCTCTTTTTCTAAATTGCCTTTTCTCAACTCCAGGTCATCCCCTTTATTCTCCATTCTGCTGCTCACCCACAGTGATCTTGAGGTTAATTAGCCCTTGAGGTGTCAGCCAGCTGGATACCTCCCTGCGTCCCTGCTAGATGCCCTGTTACTGGCTCAATCATTCATTTATGCAGCTAGAGCATTAGAAAAGAAAGACAGGGACACATTCATACATGTATACAGTATGTGTGTATGTTAAAGTAAACTAAAATACAACATGAAGAAGTTGAAAAAGGAGAGACAGGTGGAGAGATGCTATAAAATAGTGAGGGCGTATGAGTGGGAGGGAAAAGATTAACGACATAAAGCGATGTTCTCGAACAACAGTGAGTGTGAGGACAAAAAAGGATCTAGGTTTTAAGGATTGTAGATGGATTGACAGACGGTCGTGAAGGAATGAAGAAAATTGGAGCTAGAGGACAATTTTATCGAGGGGATGACAGTAAAATGAACTATTACATCGGGGTGGATGTGAGCCGGGTGAAAAAGGACGGACACGGCGGATGATAAATGGACTGATAACAAATCATGATTGTTAAATGTAATGAAAAAGGAAGAGATTGAGGACAATAAAGTGGTCAATTCCAGCTACAAAGAGGTTATAAAAGGAAACAGTGGAAAGGAGGCGCAGTAAAGTCGGAAATGGATAGAAAGGTGAAGATGGGGTCATAAGGAGTACCCGGTGAGAACAGTTATATATATAAAAAAACAGGTAAAAAAAAAAAAGAAAGGCAAAGGAAGCTAGTAAAAGAAAAGAAGCCTGGAAATAAATGAGCTGACGTGATGGACAAGTGAGATGTAAGAGAGTGGAAGTGAAAGGAAGAGATGATTATAAAACCTGACAGACCAAAGGAAATGCAGCTCTGAAATGACACTGCAATATTCTATAATTACAACCTAAGCATTTTACTGGACCGTTAGGTTTGACAAAGCATTACAGATATAAAAAAAATACTTAAAGGTAAAAAAAACGAAATTAGCACTTAACTATGAAAAAATGAAATTTTGCGAGGTATACTCATTCATTGAAGTAAAAAGAAAATCAATGAAACACTGTAGCATGTCAATCAATCAATGGTGCTGGCTGTGGCTATACAGTAACTGAATTGCCTCAGATGAATAAGGATGGTGAAAGTAATCGTTGCTCGAGTTAAATGAGGTTATTCAGGGCTCCGTTAGAAAGTTGAGCTGTCAATGTAAAAGGCCGCTTTAAGGATTAGACTGTTGACCAGAATTAAAAGAAAATGATTACTCATCTCCAGTGCAGCTGACTCAGTTGTTCTCACTTCACTCTGATGGAATAAACTCCTACCTGAGTTCACAATGACTGCCATTAGGAGTTATTTAAATAACAGTGTTTATTTGAGCCCTCAAAGAGAGCAAGAGCTTCACTGAAAAAAAATCTCCCGACTGTGTTATGACTAGGGCATTGACAGGAACACTTTTGACACGTCGTAATCACTTTACAAAATGGGCGATAATGTTACTCCGTGGAGAAGGAAACATTATGCGAGGACACATTAAACCAAAAAAGAAAGGAAAAAAAACCCCTTCAAAGTGACTGTGCGGTGGAGTTCTTCATATGTAATGCTGGAGCAGCTACATGAGCAGAGGTACAGTCGTCCCGGAGGATGAAACTGTCATGTAACCACAGTAAAAAAAAAAAAAAAAAAAAAAGCGATTTGGGACACAAGCATCTCACTGGGAGTTGATAGAACAGCTGATTGCTGTGTTCATCGATGTCCGAGTTAAGACAGTTCTTCCAAACAAATGTGTATATAAAAAAAGGCAGGTACACACCACACTGAAGTCCAGGTTCTGATCGATCCACTCCTGTCCATCCTTAAACTCCTCCTGCAGACCCATGATGTACAGAGTGTCTAAGGCATCAACGATGGACGCTCCCAGTTGGGAATTACCTGCAGAAAACACAAGGGTTTACACAAAAAGAAAATGTTATTTGGACTTTTGAAGGCAACATATGGAAGAAAACCTTTTAATGCTGTTGTACTGATTACTTGAATTTTTTTTTACTTTGACTTCTTTTTCTGCCAATCACTGAAGCTCCACTGGTACCTAATTTCAAATAACAAATTGATGCATCTTTCCCATTTGTTAAGGCGACTACAAGGAAACCTCAGTTGACGGCGTCCTCGACCTACGGTATTGCGTTTCAAACAGAAGTCGGACGTAAGTCGAGGACCCCCTCTACTGCCTGGTGAAATAATTCAATATTTTCACAAATTAACATAAAACCATGAACGTATATCTACTGTTTAGTTTTGAATTTTTAGTCAACACTCAATTAAAAATGTGGTTGAAAGAGACACTGAGTTGGCAATAACCGGCTCGGACACAGGAAGTGAGTGACGTAAAACCAGGTACTGCAGCTGCTGTTACATTTCTTTAACACACCTACAAACCCCATTAAAAATACTGCAATTACGTTGTTCAGACACTGCTTCCTGCCCCCTGTAAGAAAGTGGCAATTAATCAAGAAGTCTTGGCTTTTCTAACCGTTGTATTTTAAGTGTTATTACCATTCATCATGCTGCACCTGAGGTCAGCTGCTGCTGCTGCTGCTGGGAGACCTCTGTCTCCTAGTAGTGCACCGTCATTAATGTTGCTTATTTTAACACTTTACAGCCATCGCCACATTCGTGTTCCCTGGAGGACAGGCGGAATTTATTTCTTCTCCAAAATATTACTGTTTTGCATTTTTTCGTGAAATGTGTCTGTGCCCACAGGCAGGAGAATTGGAGCAGTAAGAATAAAGATAGTTTTGCATATAAAGTAAAATAAATATAAATCTCATATACTATTAGTTTAGCCACCTGGCCGAGATGCACTTATACGCACACTCTAAACTTTTTAATAGAGTTTTCCATACAATAATAGAGAAGCATTTCTGCACGTATTGTTATTATTCTTAATTAATGATAACAACAGAAAAATAGAAAACTATAAACCAAGAAAACCATTTGTTACAGCCACTTTTTCAGCATGTTAGGGAACAGAGTGAGAAATTTGAAGCTTTATGTTTTGTGATTTTAAAGCACATTTAGTTTGTGTTTACCATCACTAGGAAAACAGGCATTTACCATATACTATATTCAATGTTAAACATTCAATGTCCTTTCTGGCACATATTAGAGTTTCAAATCAAAAGTTAAATTAAACCAGCCCTACCTACAAAAGAGAGGGCTGCAGAGAAGACGTGGCAACCACTGCTTCAAACTAAACCATAACACGTATCAGATACTTCTGATGTGTGTGCTGCAGAAATTCTTGTAATTCTTTTGCAGTCTCATCGGTGCTTCATTCAAAGGAAGACTGTCTGACTCCATGCAGAGGGCTTTGTCATTTTTAGCACCGCAGACAGAAACTTTTAAATAACTCAAATGAATTCACTGCAGCCAGACAGCCAGTAGTGAGATGGCCTGGATGTTTACTGAATTTTGACAGAAAGGCTGGAGCGTTGGTGGGACATAGCCCCCTTCTGTCACTTCATAATTGTATTCGTTCTCTGGTGTCTAGGATTTACATTTCCTGAATGTAGAGCTTCTTGTTTCATAAAAACAAAATCAGTGAACAAACGTTTTATAACAGCCATAATCTGTACATTTTTCCATTTTGCTATTTAAGTATGAAGGATGCAAAGATTATGCTAATACCCAATATCACCAGCCATTTTTTTTTTCAATTTGGCAAGTTGTTGTAAACAAAATGCAACATTTGGTGAAGAAATATTTCCTATATGCTTGAATGTATGTATTAATGCATTCATATCTTATCCTTTAATCCTTTTCAGATTTGTGGTCTGAGAGCTGCAGCCAATCCCAGCAGTAATCAGGTGATCAATCTCGAGGCCTGCAGGCCGAATGCGAGCCAACAAGTAATTTTGTGTGGACCTTAAAAATACATTTAATATCCTTATAATAAAGTCCATGCTGTCATTCTCTACAGTATACTAATATATACACTAGGGATGGCTCAATACAACTTTTTAAATTCTGATACCGATACTGCCAATAACAATATCAATCTGATACCTTCTTTTCTCCTCCAACCACACACAGGTAAAAAAAAAAAAATCTTACGTGCTTTACACCGTTTCCAGTCATTTACTCTTTGTGCAACTGGTGACTGAATTCTTGCACAGACATTTCGTAAGCTTCAACTGAACAATGCTGAATTGTTTCTCCATCTATGGCAATCTCACCTCTCTCTCTCTCTCTCTCTCTCTCTCTCGCACTCTCCATCATCTATTATTCTGTTATCTTCATGTTTCCAAGTCACGCTCCTCCTCTTAGTCTCTGTGCCAGTTTCATTATATGACAGGTTTTCAAAGCTCTCTTGGATGAATTCCTACGAGTCTGGAAATATCCAACTGCCTTGTTTGGTCTCCAATCTTTCTGTTTTGTTAACGAATTGCTCAGGGAGAACAGGGACTGAAAGACAGCACAGGTGGTCTGCGTGTGTTGGACAGGTTCAAAATAAACGCTTGTGTTCATCTTTGAGCCAATGCCACCTCTACGGCTGTTTGAAATTGCATTAGAAGAAAGCATAGGGATGATGTGTACAGTCCCGAGCATTGACACAACACAACAACACAGAAGCACACACAATAGCAGGGTCCATAGAATACAACAAATAGCTGTGAGGCATTTTTTTTGATTTCCTTCAAAAGCACATATTGCAATTTCTTGGGCTGGTTCCAATTTCTGAGTTCCTGGCAAGTGTGACTTGATGGTAATGAATTTTGACAATTCTGATTTCATTTAATTGAAAGCATATGCTGTCGACTGCTGTCAATTGTATATTGTAAATAAGAGCAAATTTTTATAGTAGATATTGTAAATAAGAGCAAATTTTTATACAAGTATATGCCATTGGTTTTGCAGTGACTTTAATAAATAAAAACATTTATAACCAGTCTTTTTTTCCTTGAATAAAATAAAGTCCAAATGCAAATTTTGTCCTAATAACTGCAGTGGGTAACGAGAGAAAACAGGGGCTTTTAACTGCTAATGTATGCAGGGACAAGGTGATAATTCTTGAGTATAAATGGCAAAGAACGACTTTGCACCGTTAACCTTATCGTTGCATTACAAATGGTGAGTTGACACAGTCTTTGCTTATTGGAAGTATTTCCAAGCTAACAACACATTATTACAAGCTTCTGCTTGTAAATGAGTTTACAACCTTGTTCTCCAACACAAAATGATCAGCTGCAAAATCTGCAATACGTGTGCTACAATTCTCATTTTTTCTTTAATGGCTGAGTAATATATATCATTTAACCAAATGTGGCTGTTTCATTTGTTACAGCTCAACTAATAAACATATACAATGTGCATATGATTGGTGCCGCTTACTCTTCTGTTGCATTTTCTGGTGATGAGATGGCTATAATGGAATGGAAATGGCCCTTCTAAAGGTTAACAAGAATCTCCTCTTCCTTCTCAACATCAAGGATGGGGTTGTTGTCACTGCACCATGCTGCAAACTAAATGCAGGGGGTTGTGTTAAATTGAGGGATACAGTCATGAGCGAATCATGTTCATTGGTTGTGGTTTTTAAAGGGCATGAAAATTTGGCATTTACCACATGCACGTTTTTTCTGCTTCTCAGTGTAACTAAACACACATGAACCTTAGTGTCACTGCCTGAGTGCAGGCGTGATGCAGAGTCATGGTTGCCAGCAATAGTTTTTATTTTAAATACATACACAAGTCATTGCATCTGGCAGATTAAAAAAAAAAAACTCGAGGTTCGTGCGACTTCAGGATTATCATTTGTGAGAAAAGTAAAGGTTGCACAACAATGAAGAGGAGGGATATGAAGGTGGAGTGTAATTTACTTGTCGGCTTTGCCAGAGAAAGGTCAGCAAATCCTCTAAATCCATGAAACAAAACCCAAAGGTGGAGCATACAACAAAACGTTTAGAAAGCAACTACAAAGTATTTATTAATAAAAAGTTTTTAAAAAAAATCCTATAATGGGCAGCACTCTGGTTATGTTTATCAAGTGGTTCATTGCCAGACCAAACAGGTGGGCAGTTGGATTAGCCTACACTTACCTTTTAAACCAAAATGACTGGAAAAATCCCATGTTCTTCTTTGAGCTTAAAGGGGCCTTAATAGAAGTAAAACATCTCAAAAAGTCAAATTGCTTTGCTCTTATTGCAATAACTGTCATATCTTGTTTGCTGTCTTTTCTCTGGACGCACTGTCCAGAGAAAAGAAAAGAATCAGTGATTTTAAATGCTGATTTGTCCAGAGTTCAGGGTCAGTGTGGTGTTACCTGGAAAATGTTCTGCCACCAAGGAAGATTCCTTACCTTAGCCTTAAATATAATAAATCAGATCTTTGACCTGCAGTTTTACTTCCAAAGTTATGACTAATATAATATGATAGCTAACAAAACATTAAAAACAAGTTCTCCCAGATCCAAAGTGAGACATGTTTTTTTGCTCACATTTCTAAGCCTTACCATCAACACTAATTCTTTATGAAAACAAAGCACATAGTTTGCGATGCACCTGGACTGTAATTGAATATTTCCCATGCTAATACATAATACATATGCAAACCTAATTTAAACAAATCACCTTAAAGTAAAAAACTTTTAACAACTCTATTTCGTTATTTACCCTTGCGCTGTGGTGAAGCTGCTCCTTTAGGTCTGTGGCAGACTAGATATATAATATTAATGGAAACCCTAACTGATGTTGAGTTACTTTCTGGGCAAAGCTTCCACAGTGACTCATCCTATTATTTGTTGGCGCTACTTCGCAGACAGCAGACATCGTCATTTGGTCACAAAGACCGCTCTAAAACCGAAGGAAACAACTTGCATGTGATAAGCCCCAATTGTTCCAACTTTCATTTGCACTGTTTTTAAACGTGAATGTGAG